TCACATTTAATTCATATTATTTATTTCCATGATTTATTTCAATAAATCATTTCAAAGTTCACATTATAAACAATTTCTTCATTTATTCTTAATTTGGGTCTGTACTCAGGTTCCCAATCAAGATCACACAATAAATCAATATGTTGGATTTATCTCTATGAGATTTATCCCAATTATGTTTATTGGATATCAATATATATTTTATTTCAGCCCAAAGCCCAACAACAATTTATTTTAATCAAAACAAATTTTGTTTAATTGAATATTTAATTCAATAAATTTTAGGGTATCTTTTGGGGCGTTACATTTCTTCCCCCCTTAAAGGAATTTCGTGCTCGAAATTCTTCTAAGGTCAAACGTTCAACATTTCGTAGTGATCTCACTTAATCATGACCGTGTCATGCTCAATGGGTTAAACCATAATTACGTCATTATCCATGTAATCTCAAACTGTCAATGTTATCAAACTCGTTCTTTCTTCAAGAGGTTAACAATCTTAGATTAAGCAAGGTATCCAACAATCCTTTTGCGGGTTCCTGTTCAAATTCAACATTCATAACTTGGGTTCCTTTACAGGGTATAACATTGTATTTTGGAGCATATTTGACATACTTCGTTCATTCACAAGTCTTGATTGTTCGACATTAGTCAACAACATTCTTTCTTTGATTAAAAGTCCTTCAGTAGCATTTGTAGTTTCAAGCTTGCGATAGTTGTAGTGGAAGATTTGGATGTTGTTTAATTCATATGTCATAGCGTAATCTTCATCCAAAATATCCTCACATCGTTCTCATAGGCAAACATGTACGCCTACCTTTTCAGTCTTCAAGTCGTATTTCAACTTTTTCATTTCAATTAATGCACACTGATTTATGGCAATCTCTTGTTCCTAGTGTAACTGGTTTTAAATTTTATATGCTTTTATTAGATGACTTTTCTCATTACTTATGGATTTTTCCCCTTCACCACAAATCTGATGCTTACTCTCATATTGTTAAATTCCATGCTTTTGTTAAAAATCAATTTAATACAACCATAAAATCTGTACAATGTGACAATGGCACTGAATATAGAAATAACCCCCCTTGCAACCTTTTTTGAATCTCTCGGAATTCTTTTTCGCTTCTCCTGCCCCTACACGAGCCAACAGAATGGCCGCGCAGAACGCACTATCCGCACAATCAACAACATTGTCCGCACTCTTCTCTTTCAAGCTAACCTTCCTCCTCACTTCTGGGTAGAAGCCCTCTACATGGCTACTCATCTCTTCAATATTCTCCCCACCACCACCCTTAACAATCGCACCCCGCATGAAGTTCTATATTGCACCCCCCATCCTACTCACATCTTCGCGTCTTCGGCTGTCTCTGTTACCCCAACCTCTCTGCCACTGCCCCCCACAAACTAGCCCCGCGTTCTGCTCGGTGCATTTTTCTTGGTTACCCAGAAGCACAACGTGGCTATCGCTGCCTCGACCTCACCACCCATAAGATCATCATCTCCCGCCATGTCACCTTCGATGAGTCATGTTTTCCCTACGCCCCTCAATCCTCTCTTTCCGCATATGATTTTCTCGACGACATGGAGGACAGCGTCCCGCCCCAC